GGATTAGCATCCCATCCTGGGGGAGAAGTGATACTTCTAGTCTTTTTTTGAAATAGAAACCTAGATAAGCTCAGGCTAGTGGGGCCCCTTGGCTTAGAACAGACTTATTCACCGTAATTATTTCCAACATTGAATTTTTTGAAGTTATAAAAGTCTCTTTTACCAGTTCAAAAATTTTTTCTTCATAATACTGTTTTTGGATTGTGTGAATAAATAATGGAAAATATTAGATATTACCAAGGTTTAAAGGGGGCTTTCAATCTTTGGGTTGTTCTCCACAGCAACAAACCTTGAAGAGGATATGATGAATGTTTCACAAAATTCATGCAAATTCATTCTCATAGGTTTGTACAAGGCTACAGCTCATGTGATTGTTATCGGATATACCACTGGCAGCTTATTGACGTATTTGTGTACTTCAGTCATCACTTTGTTACAATACCACCCCCGTGTTGGACCAATGCTGCCCACACCCATGGGGTACCAGTGCTAGGAACTTTAATCACAGAAAACCAAGACGGTGTAGTTAGGTGCAGTAAATTTTTAAAGGATACATCATCAGTAGAGGCTCTTGTGAATCAGCTTGTCAATATAGCTGAGTATTATGGATTCGATGGATGGCTTTTAAACATTGAAAATCATATTCAGGTAATTAACTCAGTGCTCCAAGCTGCCACTGACTCAAATTGTGGAAAAAAGTTTTGGAAAACAAATCGAAAGAAATTGGAGTCTTAAGACAGTTACTCTTGTTTTGTTGTTTCATGGAATGTACATGCAGGCAAAGTCACCAACTTTCAAAGTAGAGAATGCTTTGAATCCTTGCCTTTAAATTTTGGTTGTGATATGGTGGACATTACATCTACCAACCTACACTAATGTTTAATATTACTCTGGTATTGTATGCCAATCAACAGCAAGAAATGCGAAAAACTGTTCTTTTAGGAGCCACCAAACTTGCAAAAGCAATGATCAATTTCTATCAATTTCTATCCCTTTTTATGAAGTTCATGTTCATTTGCTCTACCCACCTATAAAATTCAGATGAATAGTGTTGATTTATACAAATTTGTGGCACATTTTCTAGATGTTCTGGCAAATAAGTTAAACCACTAATTTATTACGAAAACTGTGGGAAAAAATGCGTTGTGTATACTCTATTGTTTACAGTAATTGTTGTTCTGAATTGTCTCAGCTAACTAATCAAGATGACTCGAAATTTTAAATTGATTTGGAGTTCTATTGAGATAATGATCATAAAAATGTGTAATTGTGTTCCTTTTTTTTGCAGCCAGTTCAGATCAACAATCTTGAGGAATTTGTGAAGAGCTTGACGACTGAGATGCATGAACGCATCCCTAATTCACTTGTTATCTGGTATGACAGTGTAACTTACAAAGGAGACCTTGCTTGGCAGAATGAGCTGAATGCAAACAACCGGTAACAAATACTATTGTTCACTTCTTTTTGGATAAAAAATAGCTTGTTATGTACTATATTAACCCTTTAACTCCCAAGATTTCATTAGTAATTCTCCTTACTGTCTGCCATACAGTTCTTGTGATGCTAGTTTTGAGAATTTGGTATTGTCGATCAACTAATAATCCCCTAATTGATATTTTTCTTTATTCTCATCACTTGTCTGCTTGATATTGTATTGATATCAAAAGGAAAAATTCTGTCTTGGTCACTTATGGGAGTTAAAGGGTTAAAGATATCAGAGAGATTTCATATTAATTACTGATTTGTTTTAATTGTTTTTAGTCAATTTATTAGTTTGAATTAGGTGATCAATTTTCTGTTGTTTTACTCTCCCTGCAGAATTTTTTTTGATGTCTCTGATGGTATATTTTTGAACTATGGTTGGAAGGAAGCTCATCTGATGAGATCAGCTGCTGCTGCAGGACGGCAACGTCAAACTGATGTCTATGTTGGGGTGGATGTTTTTGGGCGTGGCTGCTATGGGGGTGGTGGTTATAACTCAAAAGTGGTATGTTCAGTATTGGACTAAAAAAAGACTCCTAATATGTACTTGCCTTGGTACTGTAAAGCTTAAGTCTTGGGCTTGAATGTCTAATACATGTCAGTCCTGGCTTTCATTCTTGTCCATCACAATTAACCTCCCAGCATTTTATCAGGTTTCCTGTCACTTTGCTTGGACCCATTTGTACTCTTGGGTGACAAGAGGCACTGTGAAACATAATTATCTTAAATTGCCAAAGGGTGCGATACAGGTACCTGGCCTGGGGTTGAATCCGAACTTGTGATTCAGAGTCCTGTGCAACAATCATGCAGTTCAATGCTATAACTGTCAGGTGCATGCAACTCTTCTCCACAAGCCAAGAATGTGTACATGCCAAGTTAAAAAAGATGTATTAATGCTTGTTCAATCTCTGCCAACATTCAACCAAAGTTTTATGTTTTTGGAAATGTTGTGAACAATTTAACACAAATTTGAAAACTCATTTTTACCAGAAAAGGCTTTTGCTTGCATTTTGAGGCAGATTTAAGTTTGTATAAACATTTATATAACTTCTGTGGTACAAATGTTGGGCATAGCTGAAAAAATTTTGAAGGTAATAAGCAGGCCCAGACAATAAGGTCTGAAAAAAGTGATTAGATAAGTGCTAAAACCCTTGACTAAGTGCTAAATATATAAGCGCTAAAAAAAATAAATATATAAGTGCTAAAACCCTTAACTGACTCTCTCATATCAAGACAGATATTCAATGAGGATATAGCCAAATTCTTTGAAATAAATAAACTATTTTTTAATTTGTTTTAGGCATTTAAGGTGATTAGAGATGAGAAGCTATCTGCAGCACTGTTTGCTCCAGGATGGGTTATGGAGGAACACGGGAGTGAACATTTCACTGTCAATAATGACAAGTAAGGGTTTGACACTTTAAGAGTGAGTTCAAATAAACCCTCTACACCCTAACATCAGTATGCATATTCTCCTTACTGTCCTCTAGATATTTCCCTATGTTCTGAAAAGGAGAATTTGTTTCACAATCAAGAGCTTCTCTAGTTGGTGATCATTTCCTTTACTCTTGTGACCTTAACCTGTGATTTTGGGGAGATACTTTAAGGAGAAATTATATGCTTGTCACTCTTAGAGATTAAAGGGTTAAACTTGCTTTACTTTACTTGTTAATTGTCCCTAATCAAGTTCTCCAGAAGTATATTATATTCTCCAGAAGTTTTAACTACAAAAGATGGTCAAAATAATGAAAGCATAGGTGAGATGCTCAATTCCCCTGCTGGAAAGTTCCAAAAGTTAAAGATCACTGATAAGTCTCTTCTCTGAGACAAAAACTATTTTTTGCACATATTTGAGCATTTTTTTGTGTTTAAGATAATGTACCTTGTTAGCATGTGGTTGATAATCCTACTGCAGTAGAGCTAAATTTGCAACATTTGAATAGTACTTTCCTTTATCAAAGGAAAGCATCTTGAGACTTGAAGGAAATCTTTGTTGAGCAGGTGAATTCAAGTTAATTTACCAACACCTGTTAACTACATCTGATGATTTACATGAGCAAGCTTACTGCAGGCTGTTTAAAACTTTCACTTAAATAAAATAACCCCTCAGCAGCAATTTTATGGGCCTTAAAGACTGAAGTTGTTTCTCATTTTAATCCCTCATAACTTTGGATCTGTTTGCAGTTCAAAGTCTCTTACTGATCAGTAGCATGTGTTCATTGTTTGTACCATTAAATGGCAGGTTTTGGAATCTTTTGGATCCCTTTTGTACTGTGCACACCTCTATAAAAAAGATGCCCTTTGCGACATCCATGTGCCGTGGCTATGGAAAGACTGCTAGCATTGATGGAAAGGTGATGATTACAAGTTGTTTATTAGTCAGAAACCTGAACCTATGCTGTTGCCATGCAATTAGCCAAGGGTGTTCCGAACAAGTTACATGGGGTGTCTGGCGAAATGACAAATTTTCTGTCACCCTGAGGTTGTACAATAGTTACCTGTGCACCTCAGAAGTGAGATGAAAAATCTTAGTAATGTATGGCAGCATTATATGCATAGTGCATCATAACATTCATTTGAATAGTAATTTGCTTATTGGTTTCACTGTTGATGTCTGTATTTGATTAAGGCTGTCCTATCAACACCTTGGACAAACCTTAGTGCACAGCAATACCAGCCCTCATTCAACGATACATTCTTCAGTCTGGGTGACAAGGATGGCTTGATAATCAGCTCTGTAGAGTTCACCACTGATGAGGCATACAATGGTGGAGGTTGTCAGGTGATCAGTGGTTGTGTCAACTCCTCACAAGCCATATCCAGGGGTGTGGTGAGGTGAGGCTTTTATGAGTTATTGTCTTTAATTCATTTATTTATTTGTGATGTTCAGACAGGCTGGCACAGTTCAGCATTACAGCTGGTTGAAATGGGGGCCTGTTATTGAACATAGAAAGAGCTTCTTACCCTTGAATTTTGATCCTCCAAATCAAACTTTAAATTTTTTTGTTACTGTGGATGTCAGATGCTCTTATAGATGCTATCATAGCTTTAATTTACCTGATTGTGAGTCTCATATCTTGTTAGTTTATTATCCCAGTTAGGTATTCCTGGTATAGAGTTTATAGACTCAATTTTTGAGCAGCTCTCTTGGGTTGGGTCCCTATTACACTTAGTTATCTTGCTTCAGTGGTTTGAATGGTGGATATCGCTATCCACTGGATAAATCTGTAATCAGTGAATAGCACAGCATGTTTTGTTAAAACTTATCTTCTGGATAGTGACTACTCTTTTGGATAGGGTCATATGCCCTTTGCACAACTGGTGTTAGAGGTAATTAACTCCTTCCCCCCCCCCCACCCCCACCCCAAGGAAAGAATGCAAGGTAATCACAGTTTACAACTTCGTCAAGCTTGCTATGATGTCCAGGTTTCTCTAATGAACTTGACGTGCCCTCCTGGACAGTGGCCATGGCCCTCAACCCCGTCCAAAATCCAGTTGCACAATTCCTTATCTGGACG